GCTGTCGTCCTCCACATACTCGTAGACGCCGGCGGGGCAGAACCGGTTTTCTACACCCTTGTACCTGGGCCATTCTTTCTGGGCATGCGCATCGTAGTCTTTGACCTGGAGATGGCAGGGCTGGTCCTCCTCGTGATTCGTGCCACTTCGGCTGACGCTCGTCAATATGTCGAAGCTGATCTTACCGTCCGGCTTGGGGTATTCTATCTTGGGGCACTCGTCCGCCGTCTTGGTCGCTGCGTGATCAGGCTTGCCATGCTTCAATGTCCACGGTGCCTTGCCTCGAAGAACGTAGGCCTCCAGACCAGAGTACATGATACCTCCGTAAATACCTAGTGGTGTGTGGAAAGACGGGCGCATGTTGCGCACAGTCTTTAGTTCCGACCAAATTGACGACTTGCGCATCTTGTCCTCGTAGTCATATAGAAACACGGTACCGCCGTCTGCATTGGCTTGTAGGGCGTCCCAAGTCGCCTCAGCAGCTAACATACCGGACCTCATTGCATTGTGCGTGCCCTTGATCTTGGGCAGGTTGAGCAAGCCTGCGGCGTCTCCAAGCAGTGCGCCACCAGGGAAGGCCAGTTTTGGTATGGACTGGAAGCCGCCCTCAATCAGCGTTCTCGCGCCATATGATATACACTTGCCGCCTTCCAGTACGTCCTTGTAGTAAGGGTGGTGCTTCATCTTCTGGAACTCGCCATAGGGAGCCAACCAGGGGTTCGGGTAGTCGAGCCCAACAACGAGACCAATGCTGACGAGGTTGTCGCCAAAGTGATACATCCAGCCACCGCCATAGGTATCCTTCGGCAGCGGGTAGCCCATCGAGTGAACCACCAGTCCAGACTTGAATTTCTCGGGCTGCACCTCCCAGACTTCCTTGATGCCAAGTCCGTAGGTCTGATGTTGGCTATCTCGCCTCAGATCGTACTTCTTGATGATTTGCTTCGACAAGCTGCCATGGCAACCCTCACCAAGCAATGTGACGCGTGCATGGAACTCCATTCCTCGCTCGAATGAGTCTTTGGCCTTGCCTTCACGCGATATGCCGAGGTCGTTGGTAGCTACGCCTTGTACGACACCCTCGTGGTTGTACAGTACCTCCGACGCAGCGAAGCCGGGGTAAACCTCGACACCAACTTCCTCTGCGCGCTCGCCCAGCCACTTGACCATCTGGTTCAAGCTTATTATGTAGTTGCCGTGGTTGTTCATCTGCGGAGGCTTGGGTAGAGGGATGGCGCTGTTCTTTGTCATGAAGAACATGTGGTCTTCTTTGGCGGGGGTGATGTCGGCGAAGCGGTTCAGGTTGTCCTCTGACCTCCAGTCAGGCAGTAGCTCGTCGAGGGCAGAGGGTTCTATGACGTTCCCAGACACGATGTGATCGCCCAGCTCGCCTGCCTTCTCCAACACCAGAACCCTGAAGTCTTCATTGCCGGCCGCTGTCGCAAGCTGCTTCAGCTTGATGGCGGCGGACAGACCTGCGGGTCCACCACCCACGATGAGAACATCGACCTCGTCCGATTCGCGCTCTATCGACTTGGGATCGAATGTGTCGTCTACGGCGGCGAGTCGTGTGCGTGGCGTCGTGGAAAGAGCTCTTCTTTGACCAGCAATCCGTACTGCGGGACGGTACAGGCTGGATACGTTTCGTCGCGGTAGTGATGCACATGCAAGTGGTCTTGATGCTATGCGCGCGGATCGCGAGGCTGCGAGCAACTGTCGCGTCGCGGAAGCGGGGACTGATCTGGTGGCCATGATGCAGGACGTGTTGGAGAGGCAAACAAATGTATTGTATGCGAAAGTAAGCAAGTTGACGAAATTTTTGCGCTTCCTACGAGTCCGACCGGCGGCGCACTACAGACTAGAAGCGACAGTGCTCAATACTGCGGAATGCGACAGAATTGCAGCATTGGACATGTACGCTCTTAGCCAACGCCAAAACCTCGACATGACGATATCCAAAAGTCGCAGCCGAGGCTACAAGGCTAAGTGCGGGATTGCAATACCGAGCACCCCATTGGCTCAGCCCACCTTCATTCCTTCCCTCCGCACATGTCAAAGTCACCACATCCGAATATCCTCTCTGTGCAATCACTCTCATGTCAACATCTTCCCGCGCAGTAGTGCGCGTGCTCGGTCTCTCTGACAAATGTCTCGACATGACGCCGTGGTGAGGGTATAGCAACATCAGGGTACTCGCGCAGAGCAAAGTACTGTCATGCCTACCAAGAAGGCTGAGCCAGCAAACTGCGAAGACAATTTGGAATCATCACAGAAGTTTGGGCAGCAGCCTCCTGCAGTTTCTCATATTCAAGCAGTCGCTTAGCTTTTCCTCCGAGCGCGTCGGCGTGCCTGAAACCGGGAGAGAGTCAGGCCCTTGTATGCCTGCAAACCTCAGTCGTACACTAAACTTATGCGTTTAGGAAGGCATCTCTCCGCATAGATCGCCCCTGCCCCGTCTGCAACATGTTCTCAAACTACACACGTTCGACCCCCATCCTGGATCTTCGCCATGACGACGACTCTACCGGCATGGAGCTTGCGTCACCTCTTTCTTCCGTAATCGTACGCTCTGCTTCATGCGTTTGATTCGACCGTTTCCAGCCAAGCCAGGGACCCGATCCCATGTCACACTCGATCTCCCGCTGTCATGCGAGACAAGGCTTTCGTGCCTGTGAGAGAATTGTGGGGAGGACCGACGGTCTTCACTTGAGCCTGGCCTTTTCAAGGCATCCTCCAACGGCGCATGTATGACATGCACGGCAAGCAGCAAATGATCGTCCCAACAATCGCGGCCTTGTCTATTTTGGACAGAGTCTCAGTCAAGCATTCGTGGAGCTCAAATAAGAAAACACTCTTATATAAACCAGTCTCCTCAGGCGGATATCACGGCACGCTCAGCTTCAACCTTCAAACCATTCCTTCGTGCAGAGCACTATCTGTTTATTTCTATTCTCAAGAGCTGTGCTCATTTTAAGTTTCGACACACCTCGTTTCAATCCTTCAAGATCAACCCCATACCATCACAATGAAGACTTCCATCTCCCTTCTCACTCTCCTCTCAGCCTCCTTCGTGGCAGCAGCTCCAGCGCCTTTCGTGGGCCAGGGACCTGTAGTCGCCGCTGGCACCGAGAATGTAGTCATGCCCTCTACAAACTTCGGTCGCCGCGAGGAAGACGTTGTGCAGAAGTTTGGCGAGAAAGCCCTCAAGCTCCGCGGTGCGCTCTTGGCAGCACGCGGTGGCATGGGCAAAGATAATGCTAATGCCGACGCCGAAGGTGCCAATGCTGAGGATGCTGCGGCGGCTGGCAACAATGGCGCTCAGGACCAGGCTGCACAGGATGCTGCCGATGCTGAGGAGGCCGCTCAGGGCAATGGCAAGGGCAAGGGCAAGAATGCCGATAAGCAAGCCGCTCAAGCAGGTACGTCTTGTCACAATCCTTTCCAAAGACTTCACTGACCCTCGATAGCCAAAGAGCAACAAGCTGCTGCTGATGCTCAGGCACAGCAGGATGCTGCCGCGGCCGAGATGATGAACCAGGGCCAGGCGCAGAATGCAACCGAGCAGATGGGAGCAGCAGACCAAGCTGCCGCCGATCAACAGGCTCAACAGGATGCTGCTGCGGGCATGAACCAAGACCAAGCAGAGAATGCGAACGACCAGCAGGCCGAGCAGGGCGCCGCCAACGGTATGGACCAAGCCGTGGCCGACCAACAGGTATGTTTCAACACCCAGATCTCATATCAGAATGACTTATTGACTCTACCAGGCTGCTCAGGATGCCAAGCAGAACCAGGGTGCTATGGATCAAGCCGCAGCTGGCCAGCAAGAGGCTGCCATGGGAGCTGATCAGGCTGCCGCGGAGCAAGGCAACGGAAAGCAGCAACAGCAACAGGATGCCATGGACCAAGCCGCAGCCGACCAGCAAGCCGCTCAACAGCAGGAGGGTGCTATGGGAGCCGACCAGCAGGCCGCCCAACAGGAGGGCGCCATGGACCAAGCCGCAGCTGATGAACAAGCCGCTCAACAGCAAGACGGCGCCATGGGAGCCGACCAGAATGCTGCACAGCAAAAGGGAGGCATGAACCAAGCCGCAGCCGATGAGCAAGCCGCACAGCAGCAAGATGGCGCCATGGGAGCCGCTGAGCAGGACAAGGCACAGCAGCAACAGCAGGAGCTCGAGCAGGCCGCCGCCGAGCAGATGGCCGCTCAGCAGCAAGCCGACCAGCAGCAGAAGGAGAAGGACCAGGCCCAGATGGCAGCAGACCAGGCTCAGATGCAACAAGATGCCGCCAACGGCGCCAACGGAATGGACCAAGCTGCGGCTGATCAAGCTGCCGCTGACCAAGCCGCTCAAGCTGGAAGTAAGTGACATCCTCTCCATAAACCATTCATCTACTAACAATCTCAGACGCTACTGGAGTCGTTGACGCTGGAGCCGCCGCCGGAGCCGCCGCCAATGGTACCGAGGCGAACAACGACAACGGCAAGGGCAAGGGCAATGGCAAGAACAACGGCAAGGGCAAAGGAAAGGGAGAGGGCAAGGCCAACGGCAAGAACAACGGCAACAATGGCGTTGGACAGCTCCTCCAGGAAGCCGAAGCCGCTCTCCAGGCTGGTGGACAGCAGGGTCAACAGCAGGGTGGAGCCGGCGGTATCGAGGGCCTCCTCAGCAGCCTCCTCGGTGGCGGTGCTGGAGGTGCCGGCGCTGGAGCCGCTGCCGGAGCTGGTGCTGGAGCCGGCCAACAGAAGGCTGGTGGCATCTCAGGCCTCGACTTGAGCAGCCTCGGCATCGGACGCCGCTCGAAGAGGACCACCTTCCGCGCTTAGATATGAGAGACGACTGGGAGCTCATCGTTGAACGATGGAGTTCCACAACCCATGTAACCTTATGATTGTCACTGCTTCTAGATGAAGTATACAGCTATTAGATGACTAGTAATGCCAATCCAAAATCATCATCGAATTCCCCATGTACTCCTGGTCTGCCCCTATGAGCCACTCACATATACTCGTCTCCCTTCATCCAGCCCAGCTGCTTCCACATATGCAGCTTATCCCATTCTTTGATCCAACCTTTGATCTTGCCATCTTCCACCTCGAAGATAGCTGCTGCATGCCACGCTGCCTTGTTCCCACTCGCCTTGATCCCATTGTGTGCCTCGCCGCAGTGACTTCCACTAGCACTGTACCTCAGGCACACATGCCCACCTTTTGCGAAGATGACGTCGTAAGAGTCGATGTGTAGATCGGATACCGCGGCCATGACTTTGGAATGCGACTCGGCGTATTCTTGGGGCGAGTTGACGCCGGGGAAGGTGGTTGGGGCGATGAAGTAGGCGTTTTCATGGCAGAGATGTGTAACGGTTTCGGCACCTTTGTTCTCCTTGGGTGAGTAGGCGAGGCGCATGTATTCTTTTACTGTATCGACATTCTTCTGTTGGGAGGTGTCAATGACATGTTCATACGTAGAGGTAGCTTTGACGAAGACCTACCTGCTCCTCCTCGGTTTGAGGTGTGCTCTGCTTGACGGGCGGGTACTTTGTGTCTGACATTGTGATGTTTCCCGGCTTACTGTGTGACGATGGTGACGCGGAGGGGTCATGGAGTAGCTGTTATACGATATATGCTTGATGACGGCACGGCTTCACGATGATGTCATTCATACAAGGCCTGAGATGATCACCGGAACATGATGGTACAAAGGCTGGATAGAAGGACAGTTTGACGGGGCCTGAGGTGGTGTATAATGCTAGTGGTGAAATACAAGTAGTACTCTGTTATGTGCTCAATATGTCAAGCGACGCTTGGTACAGCTGCGGTGCTATGGTATGCGCTAGATATGCTCGAAACCAACCCAGAGTAGTAGCCCACCTGAATGCCGATGAATGAAGCCTTGATCACTGATGTATACGAGCCTACGCGAACACGCCTGTCCTTCTTCTCATACGCGTTCGACGCGTTGTCGCGTGGTCATGTGAGGCCCAAGAGAGTACCTGCATGACGCTACTTGGTATGCGCGTGGTGCGATACGAAGGGATCTGAGCCGATGCTGTGTCTTTCCTGGAAGAACTATAGAAGGCATGTATCATCGTCGAAGCTTCGTCGGTCGGGCTTTGTATGCCTGTCTACAATATCAGCGCCTGTTCATCTACCTGTGAAGGGCTGGCGTACACCGACGAAGCATCACGAGCCCTGGGCAAGAGCCAGGTCGAGTGCATCCATGCAGTCGACAGACATGCGTCCTATAATGGATCAATCGTAGTCCGGACGGCGTCTCAGCCGGTCATACTCTGGTCTCCGTCTGCATCCTCTGCCTGCGCGACTGGCCGACCGAGCTCCGCCAAGGAAGTCTTCAGCCGCGCAATACGCGCCTCGAGATACTCGATCTCATCTTCCTGGTCCTCGCACGTGCGGTCCATGTCAGGCAAGGCCGTCACTGCGCGTCGTGCCTTTTGTATCTTGAGACGGATGTCGTTGGCGGCGGTCGCGACATGTTGGATCTCAAGAGGCCCTTCGGCGGCAAGCTGTGCGGGTGTGGGTGTGGCGGCGGGCGGCTGAGCAGGCGCCTCGAGTATGCGCTTGAGCAGCTTGTGGAGGTCGGGGAGGATGTCAAACGTCGAGGGCGGAGGGAGGGCCGGGGCGCTCGCGGTCGGGGGTGGGGGCAGCGCTGGCGTCGCAGAGCCCGTGGGTGCAACTGAGGCTCGCGCTGAGGCAGGTGCATACGGCGTTGCAGCTCCGGACATGGTCGCGACGTCTTGCGAGTCGGCGCGCAACAATGTCTAGCGTGGTGTTGCAGCTGTGGTCGCGACGACGCGTGGACGGGATGACGCTCCTTCCACGGGTAAGGCTGGCTGCAAGGGTGGTGATTGGATGGCTACTCCGTGGGCGATAATCGCTTTGGCTGTCTGATACGCGTTTCCAGGTGTCAAAGCGATCGCCAAATAGCGCGGCTGCTGGTGTCACTCGAGATAAGTTCTGGCCGTGGGTTGTGGGGGGGATGTGGGCCTTTTGGCGGAAAGATTGTGACGTTGACCGGCGATGCTTTTTTGAAGTCGACTGTTTTAGCCCCGCCAACCCTGCCCCTCCGTCAACAAGCCATTCACTGCTCCTTCCTCACCAACCTCTAAACCTCGTTGCCTTGATAACTTCTTGGGCTCCATTGTTCCTTCTCCCTGGATTGATCTCATCAGCCCGCAATCATGGCCAAAGTCGACCAGAAGACGGTCCTCATTGTCATCGACGGCTGGGGTGTCGCGACTGAGAACTCGCGCAAAGATGGCGATGCTATCCTTGCTGCCGACACGCCCACCATGGACGAATTCGCAAAGGAGGGCTCCAAGACTGCCCAGGGTTACACTGAACTCGAGGCCTCCTCTCTCGCAGTCGGCCTGCCCGAAGGCCTGATGGGCAACAGCGAAGTCGGCCACCTGAACATCGGCGCCGGACGCGTTGTATGGCAGGACTCCGTCCGCATCGGACAGACCATTAAGAATGGGAAGTTGAAGGATGTAGACAACATCAAGAAGTCATTCCAGCGCGCCATTGACGGTAATGGAAGGCTCCACTTCTGCGGTCTGGTTTCCGATGGTGGTGTCCACTCGCACATGGACCATCTCATTGCGCTCCTCAAGGTCGCAAAGGACCAGGGCGTCAAGGAGGCCTACATTCACTTCTTCGGTGACGGCCGAGATACCGACCCCAAGTCCGCGGTTGGATACATGGAGACTTTGCTGAAAGCGACCAAGGAGATTGGCCTGGGCGACATCGCGACAGTGGTCGGACGGTACTACATCATGGACCGCGACAAGAGGTGGGACCGTGTCGAGCTCGGTATGAAGGGTTTGGTTACTGGAGAGGGCGAGGAGAGCAGCGACCCCGTCGCAACTATCAAGGAGCGATACGCAAAAGACGAGAACGACGAGTTCCTGAAGCCCATCATTGTCGGAGGAAAGGAGCGAAGAATTCAAGGTATAACACTACGCTGAGCACCTGCATGTCTTCTTGCTGATTCGTCCAGACAACGACACCGTCTTCTTCTTCAACTACCGTTCCGACCGTGTTCGAGAAATCACTCAGCTGTTGGGTGATGTCGACCGCTCGCCCAAGCCCGACTTCCCTTACCCGCAGAACATCCACCTCACCACCATGACCTCGTACAACCCCAAATACACTTTCAACGTTGCTTTCGAGCCCCAGAGGATGACGGATGTTCTTGCCGAGACACTAGGAAAGCAGGGCGTCAAGCAGTGTCACGTTGCGGAGACCGAGAAGTATGCCCACGTCACCTTCTTCTTCAACGGTGGTGTCGAGAAGCAATTCGAGAACGAGGAACGCGAGATGGTTCCCTCGCCCAGGGTAGCCACGTACGACTTAGAGCCGAAGATGAGTGCCATGGCTGTCGCAGAGAAGCTGTGCGAGCGCATTCAAACAGGCAAATTCGAGTTCCTCATGAACAACTTCGCGCCACCAGACATGGTTGGTCATACAGGTGTTTACAAGGCGGCCATCGAGGCCTGCACAGAGACCGACAAGGCTATTAAGAAGGTGTATGATCAGTGCAAAGAGAGCGGATACGTTATGTTTGTCACTGCCGATCACGGGTAAGTCCATATCTGCTGCACCATTCGAGACAGCCCTAACAGACTACAAGTAACGCGGAAGAGATGCTTACAGAGGAGGGCACACCCAAGACCTCCCACACAACGAACAAGGTGCCTTTCGTCATGGCCAACGCCCCAGAAGGCTGGAGCCTGAAGAAGACTGACGGCGTGCTTGGTGACGTCGCGCCTACCCTACTTGCGACTATGGGTCTTCAGCAGCCTGAAGATATGGACGGTCACAGCTTGCTTGTCAAGTCATAGGGTGTCATTCGTAATGAAGTTGTGAGACGAAAGTTTGAGATGCTTCGTCCTGAGATTTTGCCTTCTTAGATTCATACACATATAGACCACTTAAGCTATGATGTATAGAACCATGCATAGAACAATTTCGATAAGCAGCGACACGCATAGCCATTGCTTTTCAGAGACCCTTCTTCCAGCTGTGGATTTATGGATGTTGCGATTAAAGCTAGGATGACGGCACGATCCCGGCTGAGCGGCTATGCGCTTGGCAACAGGGGTAAAGTCACCGGCGGGGAATCGTGTGGACCCCTCCTTACGTACTCCAGGGCGCGATAGCCTTCTTTTCGACACTCCCATGGCTTCGTAGCTGAATCCTCTATATTTACACTATTCGCGACACAGTTCATTGTACCGTCAACAGGCAGACTGGCCCCAATCTTGATCATCGCCAACACTATCCCGTCGCGTGCCATCAAGCAGCTCTACGCACGACCACCAACGTCGATCAGAAGCCCATCGACTACCCTCAACTCGCTATTAACTTTCGCTATCACTACGCGATATCTACGCTGTGACACATGTTGTCATAAAGTCACATCGCGCTTCCCCGACAACCTCACCTGTCGGTTCCATTGTTTTCGAAACCCAACCTGAGGCATCGGTGCCCGACCACGCCCTCCCCAGGCCCTCGTAATCGCGACACGCGCACGGCACGCCTACTGCAAACACTCCCCATCACGTCAGCTCTCTGCAAAGCGACTCGAACTCAACAATGGCAACTAGAACTTCCAACGGTGCGTCTGGAGCGCAGGGCGCGCAGACTGCGGCGCAAGTGCAGCCTTGCAGATACAAGACCGGCAAGACATTGGGCGCAGGCAGCTACTCTGTAGTCAAGGAGTGCGTGCATATCGACACGGGAAGATACTATGCGGCCAAAGTCATCAACAAGCGGCTCATGGCAGGCCGAGAGCACATGGTCAGCTCAGCCTTAAGCAACTGATGAACAATGACTGACGAGTACCAGGTCAGGAACGAGATCGCCGTCTTGAAAAGAGTATCCATGGGCCACAGGAACATTTTGACGCTCGTCGACTACTTCGAAACTATGAACAACCGTACGTGTTAGGCTTGCCTGGGCTGAATCTCCAGCTGACCTCTACCATAGTGTACCTCGTTACCGACCTTGCGCTTGGAGGCGAGCTATTCGACCGTATCTGCCGAAAGGGCAACTACTACGAATCCGATGCTGGCGATCTCATCCGTGCGACTCTTTCTGCTGTCGCATACCTCCATGACCACGGCATCGTACATCGAGACTTGAAACCCGAGAACCTATTGTTCCGAACTCCAGAAGATAACGCTGATTTGTTGATTGCCGACTTCGGACTGTCTCGCATTATGGATGAAGAGCAATTCCATGTCCTGACGACGACCTGCGGAACACCAGGATACATGGCACCTGAGATTTTCAGAAAGACTGGACATGGAAAACCAGTGTAAGATATACTGCGCAACTTTGCGATCCATTGCTGACTCTGCTGGTAGTGACATCTGGGCGATTGGAGTTATTACCTACTTTCTCCTCTGCGGTTACACTCCGTTCGACCGCGACTCCAACCTCGAAGAGATGCAGGCCATCTTAGTCGCAGACTACTCCTTCACACCCTTGGAATACTGGAGAGGTGTCTCCCTTACTGCCCGCGAGTTCA